AAAAAATAATCTTGTCACTTACGGAAACTATCCAAAAGCTTCTCAAGAAGAAGATACTGGGCGCGGACAACTGGGAATAGTTCAGCGTCAGAAGAACGAGTGGCGGGAGGACTTAGCCTTGATACGAAGGTACGGGGTCCGAATGGCCGAGAAAAAGTGTCCTCTTTATTGGTAGCCGGTGCTCGTCAGAAAGTAAGGGACATGACGTATTTGAGTACGAGGGAGATTTAACGTTTTAGTGAGTTATGAGCATGAGATTTCAGAAAGTGTGGGGGCATGGCATAACAAGAGGGGGAGTAAATGATGCGTGTTACTAATAAGGGGTGCCATCTTCTAAAGAATAAGCACTGCATCTATCAGGAAGCGAAAGGTTCCATTTGAGGCACGTGAAAACTCAACCCCACGTAGAGGAACTGTTGACGGAGCAGCGACCACACGGAGAAAGATGTTCTGATGTTAGCAGCGGGCATTTTTCATCGTATGAAGGCAACACTGTTCGAGGTCATTCAGCAAACAGTTTTCACAGTAAATAAGAGTATTTTTGGTTTCCTGACATCGAGGGAACCAGAAAGATTGCGAGTTCTGTGATGCGTCAGAAATGCAACCAGAGAAGCAAGAATGGACATAGCTTCCATCTCGAACCATTAGCGATCCAGAATCTCACCTCAATCGACCGACAGTCGCTTAGTTATGACATAATCAAGAGTAAATTATCCAAAAACTCTTACTTTCTTCAAAATTTTTTTTTTTTTTTCAAATCCTCTTTCCTCCCTCTAGGTGAAAATTCTTTCCGACCCCTTCTCCTCGATGTTTTCATCGCCCTTTTCCGCACTCTAAGCAGGATTCTTAGTTTCTTCTTATCCCGTGAGGGGAATATAGAGTAAGCCGATTTTAAGAGTAACAAAGTCGCACTCTGCTTCCAAACATACGTAACTCAAGAAACGGCAAAACTGGGCATGCGCTGGATGACGCGACGCATGTGCTCTGCGCGTGCGTGTTGCTTACGGCAGTTTTGAATAGTTTGGCGTACGTGATTTATTCAAATCACCATATGCTGCGAGCGACCACGTCATTGTACCAAGCATTTTCGGTTTTTATGCGTTTTTTGCAACTATGCAATGCAAAAACGCATATTGTCGAGGGGTTGTCTGTGTGTGTGCGTCTGTGTGTGTATGTATGTATGTATGTGTGTATGCCTGTGTGTCTGTGTGTTCGTCTGTAACGAGTTTTCATCTCGAGATCCACAAAAGCTACAAGGTTGAAAATCTGGTAACTTAATCTACACATACGTGCGGGCTCGTATCCTCAAAATGGACGCTCAGGTCCACATGGTTTTCACGTAGGGGCACGTGAAAGTTTTTTTAGCGGGAAAGCGTTTTCGGGGACGGCCCATGCTAGGGGACTGCAACTTCACAGAGATGTTCCTTGGCAGCGTCTAATCCAAAGATTATAAATTCAGCCTTCACGCACCCCAGGTCTCACGTACGCAGACGTCAAAGTTTAAACTGGCGTCATGCCAACTGCAGATTTAAGCTGACCGGTAAGCTGCAATTTCGCAGTTTTACTTGTCGTCTACTGATGTGCCCGTGAAAGTAAATTACTTGTCAGCTGTTCTGCATCTCACATACGAACACGTGAAAATTTCATGCACGCGCTTTTGTAACCTCAGAATTGAACCGGCCAGAGGACCTGGACTTTCTGAGCATAGCCGACAGTAACCTCTGGCCAAGTGCAAGCAAAAACGACTTACACGTGACTTTCACGTGTAACGCACATTCCACGTGTACACACGTGAAATTTGACGTAACTCTGCAACCAGAGAAGCTGGAGTGTTGAAACTTTTGAGCCTTGCCCAGGACCGTGTTTGAGCAACTGCGGGCGAAGAAATCATTCACGTAGCCACCCACGTACGAACACGTGAAATTTAATCTAACCCTGCAACCAAGGCAGCTGGATTCCCGAAACC